AAAATTATTAGCCCTTGCAAATGTGTGATTCGACTAGACTTGCCTGATTCAGTTGAAAGTTTCTCACCTGTCCACTGAGGGAACTTACGCGCCCTCCGTACTGCAGTTTGGGCGGAGGTAAAACACGACCCCTAACTTCCATCATACTATTTGATATAGTCAATCCAAATTCTTGTACGTAAGAATCGTTGTTAAAGTCAGCCCTTCTAACTAGATTGTTAATCTCCCGTTCGCGATCTGGTGCAGAACGCGCTGTAGCTTTGATCATGGTTGAGGTCTGCATATCAGTTAACTTCTTAATGCAACGTTGTCCAGCAACAATATTGCAAACCTATAATGTCATAAATAATTATTTGTCATTTTATATTCTCTATAATAAAATATGTTTACAAATTAAATGTTTGCGCACAAACCTCGAGCGGCAAATACGTATGTTTATGTTCTTGACCAACTTGCAAGCAAGGAAGATGTGGGTGGCGCAACTTCATTTTGTACTTATCTAAGAAATATTTGGCAACTGTACATTCGACTGTTTGTCCATTTTCCAGTTGCAATGGAAATCTGTAAGTTAACAATTATTACAATGTTGTATATTTCTATTGTTTTATTCTGACGACGATATTATCATTTCAATATATGCTTACGATTGCATTTGAGCTGGTTTACGTGTAACATTGCACACTCTATACTTTCGCTTCATAGCTCCGCAGTGAGTTATTTCAATCTTGAGACCTTTGATTTCTTTGGTAAATTTCACTCTTTGAGAATCTGTCAGTGGTTTTCTTTGTTCATTGATATCTCGGATATCCAATACTTCACACATAAATTCTATAACCGGCTGCGCTTTGTAGAAGGCAGTGGCAGAGACTAAAAATATAGATAGATGAGTAACAAAGTCATAAAGGCATAATATAAATCAAAAATTTTTCTTCTGCACGTTTACCATCAATATTCAACATCATTTTCCATTGTGATGGTCTCACTGATTGATGGAATCCAAACCACACTTCCCTGCCTCCGCCTAATGGATGATAGTATCCTTCTGGTGTACTAAAGAACGATCTACCTACTGGAGTGTATGTCATAGATGGTAAATGCCTCATTACGACGTCTAAAGCGAGAACAGCATCATATGGAATTTGTCTAGTTCGTCCCTCTAGAGCCTCTTCTAAAGCAAATAACGATACCTGCGCCAACCATTTTATAACAACACGGAAAACCCTATCTTTACCCTCACCAGGCAGTGTGACCTGCAAAGATAATTATATAATAATTGTCATGAAACACATAGTTTAAACTTTTCAATAATAGTAACTCACCTCTAATTCTACTTTATCATGCCCAATAGGCAAAGGGTCCCTTGTGTACAAGTTATTTCTGCCATCAAATACAGGCTTACGAGATTGAAATATTTTAGTATATGCATGAACCATAGTTTCTACAATTTCCCTATTAACTTTCCGAGGACATTTATCAGGCTGTATGCTAATGTCATAATGATGAACATAGCCACGTGGCATACTAATTTGGAAGTGGTTAGCTCGCAAACCGATCGGTCTGCCTTCTCGTCCTATGTTTGGTCTTCGAGGGCATGTAAACACTGGGCAAAAGAATATTAATTTTTCATCATTTTTTTTACTTAGCAGAGAACAGTTTTATTTAACAAAGTTATAAAATATATACTTACTTGGCAGTTCTGTAGGTTGAGGAGGAGTGTGTGCCTGTTGCGCGGGAACAAGCCCCATATTGCTGGGAGCTGCGACACTACTTGCCGCTACTCCCGCTGCTGTCCCAACAGAACCACCACCGCTTGTTGAAGGTCCAGGTGGAGGGGCTGCAAAAATATGTAAAATAATATAAAATATTTCTCAAAAAATCAGTATATCAATTATGTATACTTTGTCTGTATTTATGTGGAATAATATTACATACTTGAACTTTGCATCTTTTATTTCTCTTTGTGTGCTCGGGGATGCTCAGTTTATTATAATCAGATCGTACAGCAACGAATATCTATGCGCAATGATAATAGTCCACAAGATATTGCAGACATCAAGTAATTATTATTAACGACGAATTTAATATTAAATGCTCAATAAGAAAAACTTTTTTAAGTCAAAGTTAACAGATTACAATATCTTAGTTTTTTTTTTTTTACATATAACGTGATTGTAACAAAATGCAAAAAAATATCTCTAGACACATTTAACAAGATAATTAACAAAATATTCTTTCTCAACATCTTCATATCTTAAACAAATAATATGCTGAATTCAACACCCAGATAAATTGTTCAAGCATATAAACATTATATGATACTGTCATATCACAGTTAAAAAAACAGAAAATAAAAAACATAACTAGATATTAAATAACACATAATATAAAAATGATAATATTAGCCTTACTAAGTTATATTACTTTCAACACTAAATATGCATTAAATTAACAATTACTATTGTTGTAGCTATTTTGTTTGCACATTTGTTTCATTCTGCTATAATATCCAATATTTATATGCAGATAGATATTGGAATCTTTCTCCATAACTTTGACTGTTTGTAATTTAGAAAAAATTGATCAATTCATAATCTTAAACTCACATTATGCCTATGCAAAAAGATATTTCTACTATAAATCTATAAAAAAAAAAAAAACACTATTAATATTTCATTAATCAATTTTATTTTTCAAAGTGTGTGTCAAAATCTTTTTAAAAAAATATTCTACTGTCATCAATATACAAAATCTTTTTCTCTATATAATAATTTTTCAGAATTGCGTAAATTACACAGATTCTAAATTAATAGTATATTAAAAACACTTTGCCATTTTAAGTAAATCTTAGTTTGTACTTTCCAGAACAAATTGCAATAGTGCTTTAAATATTTATTTCCAACTTGAAACATTTTAATTTACCAAAACCTATGTAACAGATTATGCATTGCTATTAAAGTTTAACAAGTGATATCGAAGCATATTATGATATATATTAATATCACACGTATATATAGTACTTAAAATATATATACTATTTTTCAGATTCAACATGTAAATGCTTTAAAAAAATACTTCCGATAAGTATGCTTTCTAACATAAGGCAATCATTCTAATATGTGATTTATGCAAGATATATAACACACACATAATCATATAATCTATTTGCCTAAATACAGGATTAATTTTCTATCTATGCTATAAATTTGGATGTAGATCTGAAAAGAAATATCACGGAAAATCACCGATTTATCAATACACTTAAGGCCATTAGAGAGAGAGTAAGCCTATCTTACTTAGGTTTACTTAGGCCTAAAGATTCGATTCTTTGTCTATCAGATAAGATGATAATATAGAAGGGGATAGCAAGTAGTTAGATTAAGATTAGCTAACGCGTAAAGATCCATAAATCGAATCGCGGGTGAATGACGACACGCGTGCCTGTTGAACGAGGTTCATCCGAGGTCATTGAGCGAATCATCCGCGGAGGATCACGCACGGGCGTCGCGAGTCCCTCCCCTCCCGTAACGTTTTTTTCAAACACGACCGATAGACAATCAAGGGCTCAGATAGAGGAGCATCCGAGGGACACCATGACGGCCGAGCGAGCGAACGCATCCGCGAGGTAGCTCGCTCGCGAGCACGCTAGCTCGCGGATGTCAGCGGGACGTTCGAGAGTGTTTACGGGGGTTTTCGCGGCTACCCGGGACGGGTTCGACGAAGCAGAGACACTCACGTTGTCCTGCGGGGTACATATTCGCTGCCGTCGAGTGTAAAAGACCAGATAACCACTAATAAATAAGTAAAAAATTCAACACAAGACCCCGCTGGCCACACCACACGCTTCCCCACAACACACACTGCGAACGACACCACCACCGAACGAGACTGTCCATCTGCAATGGCGTCCGCTAGCGCGGCGCCCATTGGCCGCGCAACCTGGACTAACCGACTCTTCGAGAAGTGCGGCGGTTCGACAATTTTTCGCACCGCGAACCGCAACCAGAGAGCGTTCCGCTCGTTCGTTATACACGCGGGATTTGAACATTTTTTCGAACAATTATTCCGATTGTATCAATTATCCCGAATATCGTATCGTTCGATGAGCGTGAAATTATTCACTTGACATTAATTTAAAACGTCACAACAATTGACTTTTCTGTGATAATTCCTCGGTTGACTCAGAGAACAATGGATAAAAATAGCGATGAATGTGTGTATCGATACGTGTGTGTTAATTTAATTGACACGTCATTATTCCTCTTCCTCTATTTTTCCTCTCCTTTTTTTTTCCTAAAACTCTATTCATTTCATTCTTAAAATATTGCCATTCGTATAATTTCATAATAACCTTGAACTAAAAGCAATAATTTCACGTTACAACGTAATACTCATATATATGCATGATCAATATCCCAGGTAGCAAAAGTAGCCATTTTGACGTTATTTTGCCGTCAAATTAGGTCAAAATGACGTCAAAAAAACTACATTTCCTACCTAGGGGATTACATAAAAGAAACTATAAGTATTATCCCGATCGCGATAACTCCAAATAATAAATTTTGTAATTTCACATAATCCATATCGCTTATAATTTTTCCTTTTTTTCTCGAGCAATATACGTAAATAAAAAAAATTATCGATACATCGTGCTCGATGATCATTATAAATGAAGACTATTGCGCAAGACTTGACGCGCATATTGCGAAACATATTGCCAACCTGCGGTAAAATCTGCCGGATGGCAACACTGACACGGCAAGTTCCGGCCATAGACATAGTATATCTAGACCGAGCGTTTGCCTTTATTTAAGGAGTGGGGGTAAAGATACACGTAGAAAAGGACATACTCTGTTTCGTGCCCCTTGTGTTCTCTCTCGCTCGCACAGAGCATAGCGCTCTCTTTCATCATGCTACGTGCGAGCGAGAGAGAACGCAAGGGGCACGAAACAGAGTATGTCCTTTTCTACGTGCACCTCGGCTCCCACTCCTCAACACTCGGTCTAGATATATTATGTCTATGGTTCCGGCACTGTCCGGCAGTGCGATATCGCGACCAAGTTCGTCGCGTACGATTACGTGTTTACATTTCATCGTTAAAAATGTCGATCCATTTCAGCGGGTGCCGAACGCGCTCCATCGGTGTGATGAGCGCGATCATAAAGCAGTTAAAGAGAATCAATCTAACGCCAGTCAAAAGGATCGACTTTCGTTTCGACCCGTTCCACAAAGACGTCAAGCATACGAGGTTAGTCTCCCTAAAGTTGTCCGCGCATCACAGCGATTTCGCGGGAATTTTGAAACGCGATCGATATAACAATTTTTTTTTTTTCCAGTAGCATCCATACGAATACTCGCGTTTTCGATCATTCTTGTATTCTTGAATAAGATATATCCGTAATGTTCTTGTCAAAATCATATTCGCTCTTTTTAGATTCTTGGAAAATTAAAAAAATAAATGATCTCTTGAAAAAATAAATAATTTCTCGAAAATCGCGAGATGAAAACATTCATGCAAAAGTCGTAATTAGTCTTTTTATTACATAATATGAAACTCGATTAAATACATGAGATTTTAAATATAATGCAAAACGATTTATATCGAAGAGAAAAACTTTTATCTCTCTCTCTCTCTCTCTCGGAATCTGGATTAATATTTTTTCAAAATATTGATACTTTAATTATCCGAATCACGTTATGAAAAAAAAAAAAAAAAAATAAATATATCGAACGTACATAGTTTTGAACAGAATCATATTTCACAAGAGGGTAAAAGCAGGGGGCTGGGTAACAACCACGGCGGACTGTCAAGTCAGGTCAGATCAGGTTAGCGGTCGATGACGTCGATAGTGTACGCACGCGCAACTCGCACCCTCCGCGCTAAGCTAGCAGACGATCCGCAGCCGCAGCCCCCGTTGTTATTTATAGAAGTGTCTTGATCGTGCGGCCGTTATTAGTCGGGAAAGCGTTTTAACCACAGAAATTTCTCGAGCTACTCCGTCGTGCGCTGTGTACGTGTTTCCAGGATAATCCACATTCGAGGTACAAAACGCAGCATGTGCGAGGTAAAGAACGAGACAACTTTTCCCTAACTGTGTGCCCGTCCCGATTCTATTTGACGTTTGTACACAATCGTGGCTGCGCTCGATACTATTCGCGACGTGAATTATCCATCTCTCTCGTTTTTACATTAAATCAGATAACAACAGCTGTCAATCGAGTCAATCCGCGTGAACGTCATTTTGAATAGCTTGTACGTTATTTCCTGCTTTTACTTTTATTTTTAGAATTCTCCCTTATCTAATCCTATCATTCGTTTCGGTTTTCAATCGATAATTATGTAGATGAGACGAAAAGTTAATATAGCGATTAAGATGTTTTAAGATGATTAATTAAATTGGATTATTACATAGTTTTAAATAATTATCCTGAATATTTTGCACAGATATAAAAATGTTTCAAGTTAAAGAAGATGACCATCTATGTATTTATTTTTTTATCACTAATCAGAAATATCAAAGAGAAATGCGCATAGATAAACGTTCCTTGCGATCCGTTATAAAATTTCTTACATTCCTTGTTTTTTTGTTTCAATTCTTGGAATTGAACTTACCATTACATTGGCCACATCCATACGCTTTGCCAAGCATGGAAACGGCTGTAGTTATACGAAGGGTGCTTAAATCTGGCATTGGAAGCGGTAATTGCTGCTCCATTTGTGCCATTTTGCCTGTCAAAGGAAACAATAAACATTGAAAAATATAATGGAAATTCGTAATTCGCGTATTTGACTATCAAGTGACAAAACTGCCAAAGCTAAGGATAGAGAGAGAAAAGAGAAAAGAAGAAAACATAGATTTAGACAATAAAAAATTTAATTTCTATAGCTTTAAAGAGAATGTACAGACATGCGCTGTAATCGATGCGACACTTCATTATAGATAACGCAAAAGAATAACGTGCATAACGCTTTTATTAGTCGGGAAAGCGTTTTAACCACAGAAATTTCTCGAGCTACTCCGTCGTGCGCTGTGTACGTGTTTCCAGGATAATCCACATTCGAGGTACAAAACGCAGCATGTGCGAGGTAAAGAACGAGACAACTTTTCCCTAACTGTGTGCCCGTCCCGATTCTATTTGACGTTTGTACACAATCGTGGCTGCGCTCGATACTATTCGCGACGTGAATTATCCATCTCTCTCGTTTTTACATTAAATCAGATAACAACAGCTGTCAATCGAGTCAATCCGCGTGAACGTCATTTTGAATAGCTTGTACGTTATTTCCTGCTTTTACTTTTATTTTTAGAATTCTCCCTTATCTAATCCTATCATTCGTTTCGGTTTTCAATCGATAATTATGTAGATGAGACGAAAAGTTAATATAGCGATTAAGATGTTTTAAGATGATTAATTAAATTGGATTATTACATAGTTTTAAATAATTATCCTGAATATTTTGCACAGATATAAAAATGTTTCAAGTTAAAGAAGATGACCATCTATGTATTTATTTTTTTATCACTAATCAGAAATATCAAAGAGAAATGCGCATAGATAAACGTTCCTTGCGATCCGTTATAAAATTTCTTACATTCCTTGTTTTTTTGTTTCAATTCTTGGAATTGAACTTACCATTACATTGGCCACATCCATACGCTTTGCCAAGCATGGAAACGGCTGTAGTTATACGAAGGGTGCTTAAATCTGGCATTGGAAGCGGTAATTGCTGCTCCATTTGTGCCATTTTGCCTGTCAAAGGAAACAATAAACATTGAAAAATATAATGGAAATTCGTAATTCGCGTATTTGACTATCAAGTGACAAAACTGCCAAAGCTAAGGATAGAGAGAGAAAAGAGAAAAGAAGGAAACATAGATTTAGGCAACAAAAAATTTAATTTCTGTAGCTTTAAAGAGAATGTACAGACATGCGCTGTAATCGATGCGACACTTCATTATAGATAACGCAAAAGAATAACGTGCATAACGCTTTTTACTTGCAGAGATTTTCAATTTTACATTAGCGCGCCGAAAATCTGTTCAACAAATCCGTATTGTTTGATGAAAACGGAAATCGTGTGCGATCGTTCCGAACCAACAATTACATTCAGTCTTCGTGAGTATAACAAAAGTATTATGTGTTCAAATTCATCATTCATGCTTTAGAATATATTAACATCGCAAAAAAAATTCATTCACACAAGCATTCATTATATGTCATATAATATAAAAAAGTGTTAATAAAGATATTTTAGATATGAAAAATATGTAGGATATTTTAAATATAATTCTGCAGCTATGCAGAATCTGACTGATCTAACAAATTCTTAGTACATTGGGTGTATTAATAAGAAATCTATTTGCTAAATTAATAAGAGTAGAACTGCAATTATTTATTTATTTGCCTAAATTAAATTTTTCTTATATTTTCTCTCCTACCATCGTGATCACGCGAAAATAGATCACACGACTTCTTTACTTTTCAGAATCAGGTGAAAAGGTGATATTAAAAACAGCTTTTTTAACGTCTCTGAACATTTTGGAGCTTTACAACAAACATATTACTAAATTAGTTCCGCCTGATCCAGCTGTGCTTGAAGCTAAAAAAGAACTCGAAGAAAAGAAGAAAAAGAAAAAGAAACAACATCATAAACAAAAAGAAGGAAAAAAGAAGAGGCCAGTAATACTATTGGGCTAATTTAATTGGCGACTTATTTAGATCGCTTATTGACTGGTAATAAATTAAATATCTGATTTTTTGTGTCTAAGTTTTCATTGAAGTTCATTTAAATATAACAAATATTTTCAAATTATACCTTTTCAACATATATCATTGAGATCGCTTTGTCCTATTTTCTGACATGTTTTATAAAGTAATTTAAGTGAAAAACTATACATGTTAATTCGAGAAAGTTGTCAATTATCTACAGCTTAATTATTTCATTTAAATTAATCTTTAAATCTGCTTAAAAGTTCGTAGAAAATAATGTCAAAATAAACATTACAATGATTATCATTTATATTCTTGCAGGGTTTTTTATTTCCTAGAAAAACATTCGATCTGTATTAACTTAATAATTTTGATACTCATCAAAATATTTGATTACGATAGAAAGCCGATCATACAAAAAAAATATCCGTGCAACATTGTTTTGTTGATCTTAAATTTACGGAAAGGAGGATATCAAAAATGGCGAGCGAGATGGGAAATAATAAAGATTATAATTTAAGACTTATCGATATGCTCTACAGTCAAGTTCCAGCCTTCACCGATGTATTTGACGAAGAAACTTGGTATATTTTTGTCGTTTGTTTTGTAGCGGGTACTTTTCTAGTCGCATTTATTCTTTCGAGATTTATAACTATAAAACCCATTGAGTAAATCATGCATAGCGAATTCAATTCACGAGATGTTTTGTATACTTTTTTGTATTACACTTTCTCTAGATTTTCTATAAAATTAGTGTCATCACATCAAGTTTTTAAGCATGTTACAACCAGTAAATTTTTCAATCAAGTCTTATTCTTACAATTAAATAAAATTTTGCGCTAACAAACATCGCAAAAAGAGATATACTTTGTAAAGGTGATGTATCGCAAATCATTTGTGCTCTGATAATAAAATAGCATTAAAGAGATGTACAACTTTGTGTGAAACATTTTATACAAAATTTTTTTTCTCTTGTATAACTTCCTTTAGTATATAAACAACATGATAAAAAAAAACTAAGACTCATATCGATATAATTAATATTTTCGAAAAAATATACAAAAATTTAGGAAACTGCAGTAGGGTAATTGCAATATACTAAAATAAGAGCTCCACAGAGGATATATATATATTTATGCTAGTGCGTTGTAAATATACAAAATAGTCTAATCAACGGCCGACAAATGCTCTTCTTTGGACAAGTCCAAATATAAATTAAAGAATTTAAAAGTTTAACAATTATATTCAAAAACCATATTTCACATCACGCTGCAATTTTTAATTGCATTGCTACTCAATTGATTATTTTCTTTATGAAAATAATGTAAAAACAAAGTGAATAAGTAAATAAAGAAAGAAATTTATAATGTTTTCTGCAATACACCTGAGAAATTCAGAAATTCAGAATTCCTCGATTAGTCATTAGTTACATAATCATTTTTAGTTTTTTCTTTTATTATACATATAATGATTAGTTATATAACAAACAAAATTATATTATTTATCAGCTACATTAGTGCAATTTTTATAGCAATTTCATATTTATAAATGAATAGTTCTGATCCTACTAGCATAATGTAATATTTAAAGAAAAACAATCTCTGATCTACTTTATAAATCAGTTCCGGATTATAAATCAGTTTCGGAATACACAAAAAATAACGCAAGATATCGTCCATACGAAAAGTTCGACAGACCGGTGCGATTCTCGTTTCTCAAGTTCGCCGAGTAATTCTCCATCATCTCCTTTCTTCTGCCCACTTTTTTCTCTTTTTCCTCTCTCTTCCCACTCGTTTTTTTTTTTTTCATTTTATTTGTTTGCATGCGCGTTTTGCTCCTTTCATTCTTTGTCCGTGCATCGTCCTTGCTACGTCTCTTTAAATTTATAACATCTCTCTCGCTCTCTCGTACGCTTGCCTTAAATCGGATTGCTAAGAACTAGGTATCTCCGTCGTATGGAAGATTACTAGAAAAAAAAACTCGCGGTTTCGTTTGAACAAATTAACTTAGTGATTAACGTTGCCCGAGATTAGCAAGATGACGTGTTCTACGCTCGCGATAATAAAATCGTAATACATGAGAACTGAAACAAACAACCATTCATTTTGCTAACACTATAATACATACCATACATAGACAAACACACATGTCAGAATTTATATTTTTTTAAAACCCTTGAATCTTTGCCACTCTTTAAGTGTAATTTATAATCAATTTTCAGCAATTTTTGGTTCGTATTCTAAACATCTATTTAACGCAAGAAGCGGTCAATTCTCGGTCAAGCTAAATGTGCGGTGAAAATATAGTCGATTGTATTTGATAACAGATTTGTGAAAGACCTAATTTAAAAGATTGAGAACAGTATAAGTTTAAAGTAACTATTTCAAGCAACCCACAGAAATCATAGATATAAAGCAATATATGCAAAGAATAAATAAATAGAAATTATAAAGCTAATAGAGGGAGATATTACTACAGCGAAAACAAAGCAATTTATGTTGCAAATAAAATGGCTTTAATTATTTCAAGACGACCTTTCACAGTTATTATAAAAAAGAAAATAAAACGTAAAAATTATATTTTATATTACATAAAATTCTCTTTCAAACTATAGTAAATCTGTGAACCATCTAGGCAAAACAAATGGATAGATCTTTTGTATACGTGTTGATTTCCTTTTTATATTTCCAAAAGTTCAAGATCTTTCGGGAAAAAAAAATTATCGCCGGAATCTTGAAAGAATTAATGGCCAATGGAATATGAGGGAATTGAAAGCGTGATAATTTCGATAAATTCGATTTTGCACCTGCATGTACGCGATCAGACCATTCAATGATCACTATTCTCGCGTGTTCGCAGTCACGGTAAACCAAATTTGGCGAAATTCTATCGATTTCGAATCACGCGATAGCTTCTCTGCGTAGCGTGCTTGACTCACCTTGTTTTGCGTGTTTCTTCGGGATGAAAGTTGGATTACAAGATGCAAGAATTACGGATCGTTTCGAGCGTAGCGTCTGTGTTTCTTCACTTTACACCGGCATTTCCAGCCGTCAGTTCACGCGCGCACGACTATGCACTGCGTTATTATAGATTGTCCACGTGCGTACATGCGAGGGACTACGCGGTCACAACAGCCGTCGCGCTGCAACGGCTATCACTCGCGAACTCGGGAAATCGCATCCCTCACAGCCTCCGACGTCAACAAAGTCTTCACACGATGCGTACACGTGACCACGCCGACTCCCTGCAACACAACACCCATGCATGAATGTCAAAATTTATCTCTTTACGCTCGTACTCTTTTCGCTCTCTTTCAAACTCGGTGCGCTCGCAAGATCAAGAAAAGACAGGCAGGCAGGCAGGCAGTAATGATAAAGTTTCTACTTTTAAATCCTAGAAAAATTCTTTATCTATTTCTTTAAACAAAAATGTGTTTAATTTCCTGAAAATAAATTATTCATAGGCATCTTTTGAGAGATAACGTTAAGACTTACATTTTTACTCATTTACATATGATTTCAAAACAGCATATAACAAATGCGTACGAGTGTGTAAATTATTTTCTCGCAATCTTTTTTTTATTTATGTTAATCCAACTTAATCCGATTGTTATGTTTAACATCCGTCGTAACATTATCGTAAAAAAATAATGTAATGACAGATAATTTTTTTTTTTTATAGGATGTAATCCTGTGTCCGTCTTTGCAAAAGTAGTCATTCTTTTACTTCAATACACGCGTAAAAGATGAAACATATAAAATAAAAAATACACTCGATGTGCAAGGCAGTTGTCAATTGTCAACAAATGGCATAATATTTCTCGATTCTATTTCAACTTTGCCGTCGTCTGTTCATACGAACGTTTGCACGCGCGCGCAAGTGATATCGTTGTGAATGATGACAAAAGCCGAGAGAACCAAGTTCATCAATAATCGACACAATTAAATAAATCCGAGCACTCTGCCCATTTACTTATCGAATCGCTCGATATCCAATTTTTTTCATCTTTCTTTCGGAGAATTTATTATATAAATGTCACATTTAAATCTCATTTAAAAATATTTCAAAATATTTATTGTAATATATTTTATGTAGAATGTAAAAACGAATTGAATTGCAGACATCAAAGTTTTATGAAAAAGAAAAAATGTCACAATATGTGTGCGTTAAATAAAACTATTCCAAACAGATCGCTACTTGGAGTATAGCAATCGATATATACCTAACGCACACCGTGCATACTTATAAGACAAACTAAAGCATCGCGATAAAGTATAACGTGATTTAAAAGTAGATACGTGAACGATGTTACCGTCGTCTAACTTCGACATGCTCTGCATTGTGAAATATTTAGCTATGCGTTTCTCGTGTATTATCTTAATGTAACTAATTTATTTGAATTGATCGAATTCTCGGACTAGATAAAATTCTTGGTTTCTGTTGTTCTGTATATTGATTTTCGAATATCTTCTATGGAATAAAAATGAAAAGTTAACGAGATGAAATATCACGACGCAACGCTTTTACGATCATTGTTCGTGTCGTCAGATTTTTATCCGCGCGTCCTCATCAATCGCAATCTGCTAACGTAGTATAACAAATCAATGATCCGAAGGAAAATCATTGTACAATTTAAATATTCGAAAGACAATTATTTATTACTCGGACTTTAAAATTACGGCTTTAAGAATATATAATTCAACTTTTATTCTTATTAATTAAAAAATTACATCGAAAAACGCGCTAAATATATGAAACAAGTGTGACGAGTGCAATGAATTGTTGTTTCGAAAACATCGTTAAATTAATTCTCTTCTTCGAGCGGTGCGTAAGCCGAACGCGGAAAGAGAAACGTTACTTCCGCGTACGTTCAACGCGTCGCATACGCACAAAGAACGCGTAGCAAGTACACTATACATCCTCCGTACATCTCCGTATATATTGTCTGTACGTACCGCGAGCGACGAGAAAAGAAATTGGGTCGTCCGACCGGTCGCGCCGGACTCGCGCGAGTGACGTTTCTCGGAGCACGTTTTGCCGGACGATAAATCGCGAAAGGCAATTTCGCGTGCTTCCTTATTTAATCCCTTAAAATTATTTAAAACTATCTGCAACGTTCTACACGAATCTAGATATTTTTTTTTTTTTTAAGTCATGACCGAGGGTACTTTAAACACGTTTTATCATATGTATACAATTTTACAAAAATTGCGTTCCCCCCTATTAATCTTTTAACGATGTTATGCAAATGTATTAAAAATACTCTGATAAGAACGAAATTAATTAACTATAACGGTCGTAGATAAAGATACCATAAATAGAATTCGTTACAAAATAAATCATCAAATCAAACGACGCAATTTCTATCGTTCAGAAGCTATCGTTATTTATCGCATTATATTTTGCACGCGGCAAACATTACGCACGTCGCCACGACAACGAAAAGACAATGAAGACAATGACGACGACGACGACGACGACGACGACGACGAACAAGTACGAGAACGAAGCCCGAAGGTAATTGATACCTTATGGTCTGCTTAGAGCGCGCGACCAATGACACTTGTCTAACCTTCAATTGAATTCCTCGGCCGCGACGAATTGTTCTCGCGATCAGCGTGTCAAAATGCCTCGAAATGCCTGCGCGCATGACGCGACGCAAAAACGCGACGCGGACACGACTTCTTCGCGGCCACTTGGCTCGCGAACCGGATCGGCCAGAATCAAAACAAAGAAGAGAAACACTCGGTGCGCGCGAATCCGCATCGCAAAAACAGACTTACACGGATGTAACGGATGCGTGACTCCTGCGTCGTGTCCCGATGTCGACGTCTACGTACGCATCGCTCCCGCGTCTTTCGGCACCATTTACCGTCCGTCCACCACCTCCACCTCCTCCGTCTTCTTTTTTTCTCCTCCTCTTGTGTTTGCCGCTGCTGCTGCTCAAGGCGTGCCCTCCGCTTTCACTCACGACGCGATGCCGCCGGACGCGCGATCTCCGCGGCGCGGAGCCGCCAAAAACGATCACCAAGTGTCAAGGTTGCCATTGTGCCACACGTATGGGCTGCGCGCGCGGGTATCTGCGCTCTCGCACACAGTCTCGCTACCTCGCGTCACCTCTTCACTCCCCCACCCTCTCTTCCGTTTTCCCTAGCCTATGCCTGCTTGCCTGCTCGCTTGTCTTCCCCCGCCCGCTCACAACACCACCGCCGCGGTACCGCTATCACAACAATGGCATTAACGCGATACCCGCAGCTTATTACACGATGACACTGGCCACGGTGCGTCGCGGCTCGCCGCAACGACCGATCGTATACACACTCGCAAACGAGAAACTCGGGCCTCGTTCGACCCGACACGTTATTTCAGCCGCGGCTTTTTCAGCTCTGAATTTCGCCGAGGCGCATTCGGCGATCAGCGTTTCGCGAGGGAGTCCCCCTACTACTTGTTCGATTCGCGCAGCCGCGCGCGCGCCTCTCAGGGCTGTAAACAAGCGGGCGCCCGCAAACGGGGTCTTGTTTACAAACAAAACGCCCGGCTGCTTCGATCGAAGTGGAATCCGCGCGGCAACGAGCCCGCGCGTTCCAACCGGTGTCTTTTCACGAATTGTACTACGCGTGCATATATCTCTCAGAGGAAATTCATGAATTATATTTGATGTTATTAACGTTTAAAGAGGAAAATATATATATGAGACACCCGCTAATATTTATATTTTTACCTACATTTTATACGTTCGTTTATATCATAGAGGGAAATCTTGACTCTCACTGTTCGATTTTTCAAATGTTACTTTTGTTGAAAAGATATATTTTACCTGTTACCATTCTTTGTTAAGAACTATATATATTTGTTTCATTTTTAAGATTTTTATGTAGTCGATGTTATTTAATTTATAGGTATTTTACTATACTAACCATGTCTAATTAACACTTTTACATATCATTCGCTTATGTCAACATGTTAATATTAAAATTTTACGCATAAAATCGATTGGAGCAATTTTTCTTATTTTTTATACACACACACGTATACGCACACTTTTATTTCTTAAATTGATATTTATAGCTATAAAAACAAAAAAAAATATTCCGCTCTTTAAACTTTATATTATCATTGCATGCTAAGTGTGTTAATAATAAATGTGATTAAATACCTGTGGTTTTATCATAAGGAGATAATATTGAAAGTACCCAGAACTTTGGCTTCTCCAGCTTACAACTGTGCCTGAATGATGTCATAATCAAACAACCAATAGAATACTGCCATGAATCAACCATGCAACACCTGACAACACATTTCACGGCGTCCCCCCAACCTACCTTCCCTTCCTTGACCTAACCTCTTTTTTCCTAGCAAAAAAAGGAAATTAATTAAAATTATTACATCAAATGTTCATCATAATTATTATAATTCGACATTACGGTTACTTATGGACATATTTCGTTTTTTTTTTATTCAATCCAGCCAAATGATAAAATAGACCCTTGATATTAAATATCGATTATCGCGAAGGGCCAATAAAGCGCTTGTGCGTCGTAAACAAAAATGCCCGATTGGACCATCGTTTTCCCGCTTTTTTTGGCGATTTTATATTTCATTGCAATTATCTATCATAACAATTTAGTGCATTGTGAATAAAACATACATTATTCTTCTCTAAGACTGTTTTCTTTTAATTTTAGATAATACAATCAAATTTCATTCTAAATATATATACTTAAATATGCTATATATATATAATAAATATAGCTGATAAATAAATTGTACTATTTGTTAAATTCTGCATTTTATTTAAGCAATAATAAATCCAGTAAACATGTATTGTATGTATACAAAATTGTCCATTATTACATATGTGTAATTTTAATAAATATACATGATCAAATTTTCTATTCATTTCTGTTTAACGTTTCTCTATATCGACATGTTTACTAATCTTTCATTGATGTATAAATACAGGATTATCGAACACTTAGAAAAACATTTGCATATATATTTTCAAAAAACATGTTACCTAAATTATATCGGAGAGGAATATGGTATCCATTAAAAAGACTTGTATTGTAGATTATTATATAACATAATATATATATGCAATGTGCATGGTTTCCATATAGAAAAAAAACCTCTCAAAGATGTGTAGAAATCCTGTTCTTAATCTAACGCCATGCCTTCATCGTCATCGTCCTTATCGGGACTAGCGGCTGATGGTGATTGCTTCTTACTCTTGTCATCCTGCCCCTGTTGCGTTTGCTGTTGTCCCTGACCGCTCTTCACTTCGGACTCCAGAGCGCTGACGAATTCTTCGATGTTTCCACTGGCTGCGGCATTGACGGCATCCGATCCCAAGCCGAATTGACGGATGACAGGGCCCGCCTGGCCCGACTGCAAAGCAGACCAGAACATTGATAGCGCCTGGGAGAACTGGGGAGACGAGAGCGTGGTAGACAGGTTGTCCCCTGGTGGTAAGTGCATGTTCATGGCACTCTCCAGGCTCTCCGACGTGGAGATCGCCGCCGGGATGGCGTTGGTCAGCTCTGTCGCCACGCCCCTCTGCCGGACAATAAGCTGCGCTGTAGCTGGACGAAAACAACAGATATACCCGGAGAAACTTCCCCAACTGCTCAGCAGAGCCAGAGTCTCCGACAACCAGGAAAAGTTCAGACGGATAATAGTATCAAATAGTGAGAAAACCATGCCTCTGCCTTTCGATCTATATGTTATTTGATCACAATCCTCTCTTTAATAACTATTAAATTTAGTAACTAAATTAATATTGTTAATTCTTGAAATGATTATTCCACATACACATGCTCTATTTTTAATATTTCTTATGAAAAAAGTATTTTCTGCTAAAAACAGGTTAAAAGCATATAAAGCACGCATTACTAAACATAATTTTATAGTGTGATATAAAAGATGTATAAGATACTTAACAGTTTTTTAAAGGAATATTATATATCATATTGTATGCAACTACATTAAATGATTATGTAATATTGAGAGTGTAAATGACAAAATGTGTATGTGTATATTGTGTGTGCAATTGTCCCATAAATTATTAAAACTTTACCAAGTTTCATAAACAGAGAAAAACATATTATTCTCCACAAATATATGAACTAACTTTTAGTTGTAGCACTCATTAAAATTCCAATTTAATATAAATGACACATTAGTTAAGTGCAAAATCCATTATTCTATCATAAATTTGTTTAACCATAGTTTAGTTAATTTAAATGCATAACATAATTTCAATATTTTCAATTTGTTAATAACTTTTGCACTATAACAATGTACTACACGATTCTTCTAATTTTCATCTTATGAATAATCAACACAAAAAATTCCTTCTTATTCAATTGTTTTTTGTTCATTCAAAGAACAGCTTTAGATACTTATAAGACAGTGCTTGAACGAACACTGAATATTTTTCCACCTAACTTCTGTTATCAAGAATGGCACTTTATATCACTGATAATGATAGCAGCTATAAAAAATATGCAATTAGTAATATAATCTTATTTTTTAAATTCTCGATATTTTCTTGTCAGATCTCACGTTAAGAACTTTTCTAGATAGATTTTCTCTTAGTTTTTGATTGCACACATGTATGATGACACATTATTTATTTTTACTTACACAATACTCTCTCTTTGTATCATATTTTTATATACACACATTTTGTGAAAATACTCTCTTTCCATTTATCTCATTTTACTCTCTTATATTAATATAGAAATGATTTTAATACAATCCAGTAATTTTCAATATTGTTTTATCATTTCACTTGATAAGAAAATTATAGATCACACATATTCAATAACATAAAATCAGTCACAGATTTATAATATTATATTATATTAATAACATAGAAGAATCTCTTTGACAAAACATTTCCAGAAATGTATTAAGAGCGTGTGTGATCTTGCATTTGTAATCTTTTTTTTTTTTTTTTAAATACAATGATAAGATTAAAAGTGGATTTAATCTTATCATTGTGTTTCAAAAGACATAATGTCTATTGATATGAATTAAACCCTAAATTGATGTTATAAACAACAAGTTCTAATAATATATTATTAATGTTATTATGTAACTATAAAAATATTTATATAATTTTATTTATTTATAAAATATAAATAAATA